TCGGTGCCACATTTTTCCACATCCCTTTTCAATTATTTATTTTTGCCTATTTAATATTTTCAGTATCTTTCCTTTAAGATAATTAAGTTAGTTCACTTTTTTGCTTCAACTAATTTTAAAGGAAAATTCAAAAATTAAAATTTTCTGTTAGTTAACTTTTCTTTGTATTTTTTATGATATAGAATTATATTGATAATTATAATTGATCATCTTCCTTTTCTTTATCTATTATTTATTTTAGATTATGAAGATCACATGTCAATAAATTAAAATACATTAAAAAATATATTCTAATGTTTCTCAAGAGTTTATTTGTTGATGAAAACTTTAGTTAGTGTTCAATCTTACTTTTATAATTTTGTGTGACATTTTTCAAATCGATCTTTCATTGTTTGTACACATTTTTTTTGTTTGCATCTTTCTCGCGAATACAAATATTAAATCAAATTTAGAAAGCTCAAAACATTAAACAATATTATATCCTTGATCATCAAATAAAAATAGCTCTAAAATATTTGTTGAGATTTGAGTAGGATCAATTACAATTTTAAATAATTACTCTTTCATACAAATATGACAGTCTCTTCATACTTATTTTTTTTCCTTTTAATATACATATTTTATGAAAGTTGCTATTATTCTCTTTAATAATGAATCAACCTTTTTTTTCACCTTTCACTAATCTTAGCTTATAAAATATTTATAAATCACTTTTTATCTTGACTAATTTTTACTACAATTATAATATACGACATATTTTATTTATATAAAATGAATAGATTGAGAAATACATAACCTCAATTACATAAATACTATAAAGTATTCAAATAAATTAAACTCAAAGTATTATATGTATAAATTAATATTCCTTTAACTTTAGTTATAAGTTAGTTAATATTTCTAAATTATTCTCAAAGGTAAACATAAACAAAAAAAAATCTGGAATTCTCAAATTAATTTTATTATTCTCAACTTAACATAACAACACAAAAATTAAATTCATTTTTTGTGAAGGTAAAAAAACATATACAATGTTGAATCAAAAAAAAAAATCTTGAAGGTCTATGAACTAAACGATTCAAGCCTTCAAGGTTAAAAACAATTTACCTGAATTTTTTTTTAAAAAATTTAGTATAAGAATAAATTAAAATTAATTAATAGATAAAAGAATCTTTGTAGAAGTACCAAGGTAGATGATCCTTTCCTCTAATATTTAATTTATCGACATAACCAACATCCAATATACCACTGAAGATTAATGGACAAATTAGTAATTGAGGGGATCCTTTACTGATTTGTTCATCAAACTTAAACTTAAATCCCTAAATATTATCATATGCATCTTCCATTATAAACAATAAAACTTATTCACAAAAAATATGCATGGAATAATAAGTGTAGTAAAATCAAAAATAGTGAGGAAAAAAACAACACAAATGAAAAAATAAATAAGAAAGAACACTATAAATAAGAGACATCAAACAAACTAAAATGAGAAGAGTAACATAAATTATATATAATACTCATCAAAATTGAATTTGAGTTTGAAATCCCAAAATTGTCATATGCTCATCTTATCTTCTACACTGTAAATAATAGAAGTTAGTGACATCTATATATAATAAAATTAGCCGTAAACAAAGTGATGTACACTTTAGTATAAATATAATGAAGAAAGAAGAAGAGAAAAAATTCTTACTGTTGGTGAAGATGATATGCTCTAGTATTTATAGTAATCAATAAATTTGTAACTTTATTGAATAATATAAATTAAAAGAGTAATATAGTAGTCAATAAAATTGTAACTATATTGATATTAGTGTCTTAATTGTAATTTAGTAATATATTTAAGAAGGAATAGAGAAAGGTATTAGAAAAAAGTGATTAATGATGTTAAATGGTGAACAAAATAAATAAAATTATAGTTAATTTTTGCAAAATATTAAGGCAGGAAAATAATGAAAAAGGCACAAAATGTAGTGAGGAGAAAAAAAAGGATGAATAAGAAAAGGACAATAAAAAGATTTTATGAATTTATTAGTTGGGGTAATAACGGAAAAAGGTTATTTTTTGGGCTTTATTGATTTCAGTTAGTGACCTTTTCCATTCTTCAATATAATATATATAATAATTAGCAATTAATGTAATAACTTATAGACACTAAATTAATATGATTACTAAATAGAATATGATTAATTCTTTAATTAAAAAATAAGATAAAATAGAGAAAAATGTCAAAAAAAAAAAAATAGCAATGGAGGCTTTAGAGAGGTGCCACATCACCTTATTTACATTTGGCTTTATATTATATATATTAGCAATGAAGGCCTTAGAGAGGTGCCACATCACTTTTTTTTACATTTGGCTTTATATTATATATAGATTGTTGATTGGTAACTACTTTATTCCTCTTATGCTCATTTTAGTTCTCAACAATGTATATTTAATATATGAAGATTTTCTTGAGTTTGCTAACTAATTCTTATTTATTTCTCTACATTTTCAGATTTTATTTGGCAACTGTGCGCTCTTCACTTCTCATCATCAGGTATATAATGGATATGCTATTTACAACTCTCTTTTTATCAATTTTATTATTTCACATACATAAAATATAGTTGGTAGGAAATGTGATATAGAAATTATAAGATTTTTGAGATTTGAGAAATTATTTGTATAATTTTCAGGATATTTAGATCTTATACTTTTTAACATCTATTACATATTTTAACTTTTTATATCAAGTCCCTTGTTTTTTACTAAGGATCGATTCTTATTATATTTCGTAATGCAATTATACTTAAACAATACAAGTAATACTCTTATGTAAATTTTTGTCAAGGTTGAATATTTTATCAATGTGGAATGTCATGTGTCAAGATTTTTTCAAATAAAAGAGAGAGTGCATTACACACACCACTGAGGTGTGTTTTTCAAACTAAAAAATGATAATTTAGGTATAAAACTCACACTCTCAATAATTTAGGTATAAAACTAAAAAAAAAAAGGATAATTTAGTGTGTTTTTGACACTTATCTCTATAGAATAACTCTTAACTCACAAAATTAAAAACTATATCAGACCCATTTTCTCTTTTTTGGGCTTAAAAAGTATTTTGCCTTTAGCACTTAACACTGAGCTCTTATACTCTGTTTGGATCATTGTTACCCATTATATTGTATTGTATCGTTACTGTACCTACAATGTTTGTTTTCATTGTTACTTAAAATGTATTGTATTGTATTGTATTGTTAAATTTTGTTGTTACGTAACAATAAAAAACCCCATTTTATGGAACAACCAATTTGGTGTGTTTCAATTGTTACTTAATTTCTTTTTCCAATTATATCTTTACATAATATTTCATAATACTATTTACCCTTTACCTTATATTATTTAATTCTAATCAAACCTCCTACCCTAGAATAATTAAGGATGTTTTAGTAAATTTATAAATTACAATGCAATACGATACAATCAATTAAACAATAAAAATGTTATTAAACAACAACAAACAATACAGTCTAGCCAAACATTGTATCAACCAACACAATACAGTACAATAGAGTATAATACAATACAATACATTATGAAACAATGGATAACAATGATCCAAACAAAGTGTTAGAGTGTGGTTCTCTTCTTTTCTGCTTATATCTTTGATGAGGTTAGTCTTTCTTTTCTGTTTTTTGTGTGTTTTTTTCTCAATCGTTACGATTTTTTCTTCAATTTGTGGGCAATTTCTCAGGTAGGGCAACAAATTTATATCAATTTACTGAAAGGTATCAATTTGGTGCTCATATGTTTAATTTATCAGTGCAATACTGTAAAAGGGTAAATTTTTATGTCATGAATTAGGAAGATGATAAGTAGTTTCTTATATAGGTCTTGAATAATGAAAAACAGGTAAAGTCTTTACAATAAAATATTTTAGAAGTAGTACAAATGAATTAGGAAGATGATAACAAGTTTTTTCTTCCCTTTTTTGGTCTAAGGCCCAAGTTGTGTCTTTTAATTTCTCACAATCATGGATTAGGAAGATGATAAGAAGTTCCCTAGGAATAGTGAAGTAGGTGAAGCCTTATTCTTTAATATTAAGCTTTGTCTTTTCTTTCTTGTTGACCTGGTTGTTTTAATTTTATATAGTAACAGATAGGAAGATGAATGGAAGTTTCCCCCATACACCAAATTATGGCTGAGAAATAAACTTGCCTGTTAGTCTTCAGCAATATTCTTCAACAATGTCTCATGCTTCTTCTTCCAAAGTTTGCAAGTACGATATCTTTTTGAGTTTTAGTGGTGAAGATACGCGTAGAACCTTTGTGAGTCATCTCTATAAGGCTTTGGAACTAAGAGGAATCCATGCTTTCAAAGACGATGAGCGGTTGGAAGCGGGAAAATCAATTTCTGATGAACTTTTAAAAGCCATAGAAGATGCCAGATTCGCTGTCGTAATATTTTCAAAAAGCTATGCATCCTCAAGATGGTGTTTAGAGGAGCTTGCACACATCATAAAGTGTAAAAAGGAATTGGAGCAGATTGTGATTCAGTCTTCTATGATGTGAGTCCATCAGATGTACGCCATCAATATCCCCCTTTCGCTGATTCATTTTCCCAACAATGTTATTTTCCATAGTGCATCAAGAAACTAGTTGATGACATATTTCCTAAGTCACTTCAAATTATTTCACCTTTCCCGGAAAGCTTAGTGGGTTTGAAATCTCAGGTTGAGAAAGTAACCTCATTATTAGATATGGAATCAAATGATGTTCGCTCTATTGGTATTTGGGGTATGGGCGGCATCGGCAAAACAGAAATTGCAAATGTTCTACATCAAAGATACAGCCATCGATTTGAAGCTGATTGTTTTCTTGGTGATGTTGGAAAACTTCACCAGAAAAAATGGACTAACATGGCTACAACAAGTCGTCATTTGCAAGCTCTGGGGTGAAAAATTGACTCTAACTAGCGAGCATGAAGGGATGAATATTTTAAAGAATATGCTTCGCTGGAAGAAAGTTCTGTTCACCATCGATGACGTAAACCATCAAGAACAGTTGGAATTTTTGGTTGGAGAGCCAGAGTGGTTTGGTAGGGGTAGCAGAATTATTTTAACAGCAAGAGACAAGCACCTGTTAATCAGTCACGTCGGGGATAATGTGTATGAAGTCCAACTATTATCTGAGAATGAAGCACTTGAATTGTTCAGTAGGCTTGCTTTTAGAGAAAAATCACCAAAAGAAGGATTTTTGGAACTTTCAAGGCAAGTGACACCAAAAGAAGATTTTATAGAACTTTCATGACAAGTGGTGAAGCATGCTGGTGGACTCCCTTTAGCTCTTAAAGTTTTGGGTTATTTATTTTATGGACGAGATAAAAAGCACTGGAGACACATAATTGATCGGCTGAAGAGAATCCTGACAAGGATATTCTAGGAAAGCTTAGGCTTAGTTTTGATGGTCTGGACAAAGATGAGAAGGAATTATTTCTAGATATTGCATTTCTAGATATTGCATGTTTGACTAGATATGATTTTCATCTTTGTGTGGAACTAGTACGGAGATATATGAGTCGTGGTTTTCTAATAGATTACCTTATCGAAAAATCTCTATTATCAATCGACCTGAATAATAGTATTGTGATGCATAATATGATAAGAAAAATGGGAGAAAATGTCATACGGGAAGAGTACGCTAACAGTAGAATATGGCTTCCCGAGGAAGTTTGTGACCTTTTTAAAGGGAAGTTGGTAAGCAATATTTAACGTAATTAATAATTTTGGAAGCTCGTAGTTCTATTAATCTTTTTGTTTCATTTTTATTTGTTAGCTATTAAATATGTGCTTCATTCTATACAGATAACAGAAAAGGTGGAAAGCCTATGTATCCCTAAAGATTACTATTTTGAAGATGATCTTGTCGATTATAGCAATATTTTCAAGAGGATGCAAAGCTTAAAAATACCCATAGTTGGTGGTGGATCTTTTAACTCAAACTGCGCTGTCACTTATCTTCCTTCCAGCCTGCGGTTTATTGATTGGATAGGGTATCCTTCAATTTCATTGCCAGAGAGCTTTGAACCATCACAGCTCGTTGTGCTTTGTTTACCTGAAAGTAGGCTTGTTGAACTTTGGCCAATATCAAAGGTAACACTCTCTTACAATTATTAGACAGCTGGCTATATACTTGTTTCTGTAATTCATCTTAACTAAATATTTATATTTTTGTTATATGAACCTTCAAAGGTGAAATTGCTTTAAATATAGGGAAAATGCATCAGTACCCCCCCAGCCTATGCCCCAAATCTCTGAGACACACCTAACCTTTACTAAGGTCCTATTACCCCCCTGAACTTATTTTATATATAATTTTCTACCCCTTTTCGGCCTACGTGGCACTATCTTGTGGGCCCAGCGCGTGTTGACAATTTTTTCAAGGATAGTGCCACGTAGGATAACTGTATTTGTTTTCTATAGGAATGGGCTATAGATAACTTAAATGAAGTATTTTTTATTTATTTTTGGGAAAATGCATAAGTACCCCCCCAGCCTATGCCCGAA